GGGCCGCCGCCTCCACCTGCCCCTTCTGAGAAAAGCACCAACTTCTCCTGATGATGAAGCCCAGGCGCCCGGACCCCGGGGCCAGGCCCTCCCCCTGCCCACTCGGGCCTGCTCAGGCCTTTTCTCTGCTTTTAGTGGCTGACCTCTCTGCTCTCTCCCAGCACCCCTCCCCCCAAAACCCACCCCCCTGGGTCCCCGAGGTGGCTCTCTTCTAGGCGCCCAAGGCCTGACCAGGGGCCACCCGGTGAGTTATAACAACAGCCAGCACCTTCCTTTCTGGAGGTGTGCCACGTGGCACTGTGCCCCCCACCCCCCGCCTACATTAATATACCCCCTCTGCCTTGCATTGGGGTTGGGGTACCTGCTGGCCCCAGGACCTGACTCTTTTTCAGCTGAAAGTGGGAAAGGCGCTGTTAGGAGCTGCCAGGCGGCCGTCGGGTTTATAATGTACAGAAGGGCCCTGCGGTGGGCATCCGCGGGCCCCGGGCACTCACCGCGTGGGGCAGAGGTGATGACCTGCGGGTCTTCCGCCCCGACCCTGCGGATGGGCACCCAGTGGCCATTATCTGACCCGGACCTCCTGGGGCCTCACTCCTGTGTCCTTCCTGGCCTTGCAGGCTGCTAGGGGCAGCGTGGGCATGGCTATGTGCACGGGGCGCACACGGACCACCAGGTAGGTGGCAGCTGAATGCATGAACTACTCATCCACACGAAGGACCATTGTCTTGTTATAGGTAACAAAGTGCCAAGGAGCTAGGAAAGGCCGGCGAGCCCTGGCTGGGATCCCGCTGCAGCCACCATGAGGTCGATGGTGGTGGTGGGGTGGCGGGGGGGGGGCCACACAGCTGCCGTTTCAGGCTGGGGGTGCTCTCTGGGGACCACGCTGTACTGTGCACACGTGAGGCAGGGAAGCTGGAAACCATGGCTGTTGGGCATTGGAGGGACCGATGAAGTAACCCCCGTGGGGAGGGGGTCTGCACCATCTCTTTGCCCCCAGCCCCGGGAAGAGGCAGCCTCAGTACAGCCCAGGGACACCCCCACCCCCACCCGCACCCCTCGAGTGTACTGTGCAGCCACCAGCCCCCTTCCTCCTGGACTGGCCAGATGCCAAATGAAAGATGACAGTGCAGGAGACGAGCAGCAGCCCGACCCGACTCAGCCAGGGCTCTGTAGGGAAGGGGCCCTGGGCCCCACTTCCTGGGACCAAGAAACCCCTAAGGCCCATGATTGCCCACAGCCCCTCTGAGGTGTCTGCTCACATCATCCTCCTTCTGTGGGGGAGGGGCTGGTGTATAAGAAGGACTTGGGAATTCCGTGTCACATTGACTGATTCAATCGCGCCCATTTTACAGATGAGAACACTGAGTTCCAGTGCAGGCAAGTGACTGCCCAGGGCTAACTCGGAGCCAGGATCCTGACAAGGTTTGTGTCCAGATCTGTGTTCACCAGGACCCTCTCGGGTTGGTCTGAAGGCAGCACCCAGCTCCTGCCTGACACACTGTAGGAGCAGAGTCAGAGATTGGCTGTTGTGTCAATATTAGAAGGCGGGCTAGCTCCAGGGGGACTGTGATTAGGGAGGAGGGACAGGATGGGGCCCTGGTAGGAAAAGGACCTGCCCTTCCTCCCCCACCCCCACCCCCAATCTAGCCCCTCAGCACAAGTTTTGGGGGTGAGAATGAGTGATGGGCTTTTGGGTGAGCCAAGATGGCTTGTGGGACTGGGAAGGTGGCTGGGCCTTGGGGACCGCCCTGTCCACCCCCTACAACCCCCCCAAGAGGTGACTTGAGCGAACCACAGACCCCCACACTAACAGATCTATTCACATGGGGGCCCAGAGCTCCTAGAAGGCCCGCCCACGTCAAGGGACCCTCAGCACCCTCTGTGACCTCCTACAGAGCTTTGCTTGGGATCTGGACCCAGCTCTGAGCATATTCCTGGTTCTGTTCCTCCTGGTTCTGTTTTGGGGTGCCTTCAGAAGCGAGGGAGCAGACAGGGAGGGCACAGCCCTGGACGCTGGGGCTAGCAGTGAGGGATGGTCCCGGGGCCAGGGTGAGTCAGGTTGCAGATGCGCTGTGACTTCAGGATCTGTGGGGACCCTTCCCATCCATGGGCCATCATGAGGGAGCCCCCAGTTTAATGAGCACCAACCCAGCTCACTTCGCCCCCCTACCAGGTGGGTGGGAGTGTGTCCATTTGTGGGTGAGGAAACCGAGGCTCGGTGCCAGTGGGTGACAAAGGCTGGATTGGAACCCAAGGCCTCATCCGGAGCCCACCCCACAGACCCCATCCTACTCGGTTTTCTGTTTTTACCAAAGCATCCCGCCAGCACCCCCCACCGGGCATACACGCCCAGCTTGCCTTGGAAAGGCACCCTCATGCCCCGTCCCAGACCCAGTCACGTTCACAGGGTTTTCCAAAGGTAGACTGCTCAACCAAGGGGCCCTGGAGGAGAGGGGGCACTGCATGGGGAGTGGCCGGAGGTTCGAGGGTCAACCCAGCAGCTGGGCTCACCCGAGGTCTGTGATGGGGGCCATGATCCCGTGGATGGACGGTCGGGACCAAGGAAGGTTTGGGGACAGTCTAGTGAGGACCACGGGGGGCTGCAGAGGAGGTGGGGGAAGGTGCCCCCACCCAGAGCCCTCGGCAAGATGGTGACTGCCTGCCTGCCTGCCTGTCTTTGTGTTTGCTGCAGAGCTGGGGGGCAGTGGAGCTGCGCCCCCCGCGCCCCCCACCAGCCGGCCCAGACCCAGGCGGGGGCGAGCGCAGGCGGGTGGGCAGCTCTGGGGAAAACAGTGAGTCACCGCGGCCAGGCGAGCGCGTCCTTCCGCCGCGCTGGTGGCAGGTTTCATAGGTAATTATGTAATTTACGAGGCTCTCGCTCGGGGCCCTCTGAGTCAGCCGGCTGCGTCAAGCGGCTGCGTCGTGACCAGGCGGAGGCTGGCAGAGCCCGGCGTGGGCACCGGCTCTGACCCTGGGCCCTGGCCTCGGCCCCCGGTGGGAGGAGTGACGCCAGCGGCTGGGGGAGTCATCTCAGACTTCAGACCGCCAGGAAGTTTGTCTTTGTATGGCCCTCGCTTCCACCTGGAAATGTGGGCGCACAGGCAGGGGGGCGCCGCAGGGAGCCCCGGCCTTTGGAAGATGCCCCCTGCCGAGGGCCCCTCCTGAAGGCCTGGGACCTTTGTCTTTCAAGCTCCCACGTACAGCCATCTCCCAACACAGACACACACGAAGAGATTGCGTTCTTTTATCTTGTGGGTTTATTATTCAAATAGGCTGACAACAGTCCCAGGGGCTGAAAAGGCGGAGCGGGACCCCTCTGTCCTTCCCGGTCGGGGGTCGGTGGCTCTTTCATTGGAGTTTGTCACTCAGGACGCCTCCCCGCGCCCTGGGTCCTCCCCATGCCCACAGTCCTCCCCGGTCCACACAGAAGTCCAGCCTGTCCCACACGGAGGGACCGCCCCTGGCGCTCAGGCAGGTCCTTTAAGTGGTGGTGGTTCCTGGTGAGGCGGGAGAAGGCGCTGGTCTGGCCGCTGTGCGGTCCCATCTCCAGGAGCGGGGGCCACTGTGGAGTCCAATGGAGCAGGAGATGGGAGGAGAGGGCTCGGAGCAAGCAGGGCCCTGCGAGGGAGGCAAGACAGGACAGTGTCAGAAGGACCCAGTGTTTGCCCGCGGCCCCCCAGCAGCACCCCGCCATTCTTATCACAGGGCCCAGCTGACGGGTCAGAGCGACACGGGCAAGCCCCCTCCTTCCCTCTGTCTCAGTTTCCTCACCGGGCACCCACCATCCTGGACAGAAAGGCGATGCAGACACCGGGCCCTCGGGGTCCCAGGCAGACCTCCCCTCTTTGCCTTCCTCGGACCCTTCCTCTTCCCACCACCCCGCGCCCCACTCAGAACCCACCCCATCCTATTTTTCCTGGCTAAAACCTGCCACAGACACCATCACACCCGGGAAGAGATAAATAAATAAAAGAAAAACAACCTCAACTGTGAAAAGCGGTCCAAATCTGAAAATGTTCCGGCCTGAGTTAATTACACTTTAAATTGGCATGTTTACTGATCGGGGATTTCAAGTTAACAGAGACACCCCCCCCCCAACTGTTAGTACAGTAAAACTCAGCAGGCTGGCGGGCTCCCCCAGGCCTTGGCAGGCCCCACCGCTCCCCTGCCAACAACGAGCATAACAGAAACATCTATTTTCGAGCGTTAGAGAAACGAAGCTCTCACAGATGGCGAGAGCCGCACCCTGGCCGGTTTCCCACCCCCAGGCTCCGTGCCCCCCTCAGCGGTGTCCTGCCCCCGGGAAGGCCATGTGGGGTGGGCATGGAGCTCTGGGCTGGGGCAGGAGGCCCCATTTCGGTCCGTCATTCACTCCACAAACGCTGTTTGGAGCCCAGAGTCAAGTGGCATCGGCCCTAAGAACAGGGTTGGCTCTCCCTAGAGCCTGCGTGCCCCAGGCAAACCCCTCTCTGCTCCAGGCCCACATGGGAAGAGCCTAGTGGTCCCCCTGACAGGCACTTACCAGACCCAAGGATGATCCGGGGTCAGGCCGGGCTCCCAGCCCAGGTCTCTCCAGGCAGAAGTGGTCTATTCTAGCTTTCGGCTCATGGCTGGGATCGACCGAAGGCTCCACCCATTGGGGATGTCCCTGCCAAGTGTCTGGTCCCGTGTGCCTGCGAAGACAAGACAAGGCCCATGAGCATGGCTCGGCACCTTCCCTGGGCTAGCTTCCGTCCCGGGCACAGGGGCCCCAAAGGGACCCCAGGAGGCTAGCAGGGAGGTAGACACCTGTTGATCACAGGGTCATAGGGCTGACAGCTGACTGCAGGTTGAGGCTGTTTGTGTGTATTGGGGTGGATCAGGAAGGCTTCCTGTAGGAGGCGGCACTGGGGCAGAGTCCGAGAGGGTGATTAGGGAGGGGCAGTCCAGGCAGGGGTGCAGCTTGAACAAAGGCATGGGAATAGGTATGAAAACAACAAATGAGGGCACGAGGTGGGCTTTCAGATGTCCCCCTGTCTCGGGATCATGCCAGGAGGATGCAGGGTCCCAGGTGGGTCCTGCGGCCATAATGGCACCAAAGTCCTGCCCGGGCTGGTCATGTGGCCCTGTGTGGCTCCTGTCCTCTCTGCCTCTCAAACCAGGGCCTCAGGATGGACCTGCCTTCTCAGCCAGCTGGCCTGCCCTTCCCCAGGGTCCCCCCCTCCCCCACCAGCCCTGCACTCTCTCCATGACGGGTGGTACGGCTGCGCGTGTGCGGGCCCCTTCCACATCGCCGGATAATGAGAAAATGATGAACGAGCCTCCATCCCGCCCTTACTTCCTGGCCCTCGGGCCTGTCCACCGGTGACAAATGGCCCCTCTCCCTCCGCAGGGTCTTTCCTGGACTGCAGAGCCTTGGTGGAGATTTATGTCCATCTTCCCTGAATTCTTCTTCGTTTCTCTGCTTCTTTATTCCCTCCAAGATCACACTGTTATTTATTCATTCCACAAACGTCCTTCCAGGGCCTCCTGGGGATAAAGAGATCCGATTCAATATACCCTCACATGTTGAACACCTACTTTGTGCTGGTGTCTGTGGCCAGCTTTGAGCCGGGCATTAGCTGAGCACCTACTATGAGCCGGCCCGACAGTCAAAGCCATGGCTTCCAGAAGCTCTACGGCAGGGTGGCAGTGAACATTCAGGTACTGAATCCCACGTGCTGACCTTAGCCCTGGGTGCCAAGTCACCCCGGTTTTTACAAGGAAGGAAAATGCCTATTTGCCAGGTGTGTGGACCGAGGCCGGATCTGTGCGGTGCCTGGAGGTGGCCCCAGTCACCTCCGTCCCTGCCACTGTGAGGAGACATTTCCACTCGGCCTGGCGGATGAGAGAGGCCCTTTGTTTATTTTCTTTCATCCTCAGACAGTAGATAAACCAGTAATTTGGCTTTTAATGAAATTCTGCGCCGAGCAGCACGGGGTCACCCTCTTTGGGTTTAAAATGAGTTTGGGACATGCACGCTGCCGAGCGCCTGGTCCCCTGGGCTGACATCTGTCTCACGCATGACTCCCAGGTGGGGGCTGATGTACCCCACGTTCCGCCTGGGTGGCGGCCTGGGAGACCCGGGGGGCACCGCGCTTTTTATTGCTGCGGCGTGGGGATGGATACATCGGAGCTATTAAATAAGGCTGATGTTGCCTCCCACCCCCCCGCACACATTTAATATATTCCAAAGATGTGTGGATGCATTAACAGCAATTTTCGTCTCCAAATGTCCCCATTTAGTCAGTTCCATGCATAAAATATTAGCTCTGACACCGGGCTCCTGCCTGTTGCAGATGGAGTTCCCCAGAGAACGGATTGGCTGGGATGTTGGGGGCTCCGCTGGTGTCTGCTGGGTTATACTGGGACTCGCCACTCCCTTCGGGATCCCCTGGAAAGTGGACAGGAAGCCCAGGCCCACCTGACCGGTCCCTGTGGCAGCCGGCCTCAGGCTCTCCAATGACACCTGGGAGGGGCAGAAAAGGGGGAAAACCGGACAGCTTTGAACAAACGGGAAGAATTTCTAAGAGCTGATTACCATATGCTCGCGCTCCTCACCACACCTCAGGGCTCCTCTGCGCAGGGCACTTTCCCAGGGATGAACCTGAGAGGCCCCGGAGGTCCTGAGTTCCTTAGGGAGCAAACACTCACAGTTGCTCTACCCTGAGCCTGGCCTGTGCCCGGTGGCAGGGGACACAGCAGGGACAGGACAACTTCCTGCCCTGAGACCTGAGAGACCTTGCAGTCTGCTAGGGGTGGCAGTAAGCAGGGACAATACAGTAATGGCCAGCTGGGGAGTCCCAGCCCCACCCCCCTCAGAAAGGGCTCCCTGAGGCCCAGGCCACCAGGAACAAATACCAAATGGCCCTCCTCCGCCTTTGGAGGTGCTCTAGTGGTTCACCGTTCCAGAACCTTCTCTACCACAAAGTGACCTTGATGTGGTCTGGGCAGGGCCGGGCTAGGGGAGGGTGGAGCTGCCCAGCGCAGGGGACCCTCCCTCTCCACCCCCTCTCCCGAGCACCCATGTCCGCAGCCAGGGGCTCTGGAGCCAGGGGGACCACTCCCTGTGCTTTCAGGAGCCCTCGCACAGGATGGAGCTGGAAAATTAATAGACCAGGTGGCCCAGGTCCGACACCAGGGCCTTGGGACCCCGACGCAGAGGCTTCCGCCGCCCGCGGGGTCAGCACTCGAAGGGAAGGTCGTCCCCGGCGGGATTCGATACCGGAAAGAGGTTGACTGTATAATATTCATCGTATAGACAGTGAACACCTCACAGGCAACCTCTGTCAGGCACCAGGCGCAGGAGCACTCCCGACGGAGGCTTCTTCCTCGTGCGGCAGCCCCGCCACCCGCCACCCTCCCGCCCGCTGCCATGGGATGAGAGTGGGCACATGCTGGGCCCTCCTGGGCCGGTGGTCGTGCAGGAGGCATGGGAGGCGGGATGGATACTAAAGAGGTCGACTGTGTATTGTGCGTCAGGAAGCATGCGAACGCTCACGCACAGCAAGCAGCCCCCGCTCTTCCCCGAGGCTAAGCCCACCTGGGGTCTCCGAGGCATAGGGATGAGAGGTGCGGGCCATGCACATGTCCCCGCGGAGGGACACCCTACAGAGGGGCAGCTGCCCGCTCCCACGGAGGGCCCCCCGGGAGCCCTCTGAGTAGTGGCCCTGGCATGGAAACAGACTGAGCATGCATCATTCCTCACACATGAAGCACTATGCTGCATGCCCGGACTCCCCCACGCACCCCTCCCGCCTGCTCCCCAAGGTCCGGGAGCCCCCAGGTAGCTCTCCCAGGATGGATCCGGCGAGACCTGTCAGCACGGATGAGAGAAGTCACACGCGGAGCCCATGCAGTCACGTACCCCGCAGGAGGCCAGCCTCGGGCCTGGCCCTGCACGCGAGTAGGTGGTACTGAAAATAGGCCATCTGTGTTATATTCGTCATTAATAAAGCGAACTCATCACAGACAACCTCTCCTCAAGTACCCAGAGTGATGATGCCGGTTCAGAGCCGTGGCCGTGGCCGTGGCTGCCGCAGCACCGCTGGTCGCCTCCGGGAGCAGCCCTGAGGGTGAACCAGACACCGCAGGTGAGAGGACACAGCGCAGGCAGCGCGCCCACCCCGCCCCGCCCAGGTCTCCCTCCCACCCTCGGGGCAGTGGCACGGAGGGCCCTCCCCACTCCTACCCCCACAGGGCTCCATCTCCGAGAGGTCCTCCGAGGTGCGATTTGATACTGAGAAAAGATCAACCATGTATTATTCGAAGTCAAGAAAGCGAATATAACACGGTCGATCTCCCTTCAGGTACCAGCAGAGGTGCTGAGCGCGGGGCGGCGGCCGCGCCCGGCTGGGCCGCAGGCGGCAGTGGATACGGACGGCTAGTGGACCAGGTGAAGTACATTAGAAACAATTACTTTCCAACTGGTCGACCACCCATCCTGTACCCCAGAGCGGCGCCGATCCCGACGTTCTTCCCCGAGGTGCCGCGGCCTCCCGGGCGGCCTCTCTGCTGCAGTGCGATACCGAAAAGGGGTTCACCGAGCAACATTCGTCGTCTGGATGCAAAGTTGCTCGGGTAACCTCTCCCCAAGTACCAGGGACGCTCAGATGCCCAAGGCGGATGCTTCCAGGCGGCTGTGCTTCCAGAAGACCCTCCCCAAGGGCCCTGGAGCACTGCGCGTCGGACCTTCCCACTCTACAGGGACCCCCACTCCCTGCAGGCCAAAGCCATCCTGTCCCCAGAATGAGCCGCATCTAGAGACCCCTCCCAGAAGTTACGCGGGAGATCCAGGTGGGATCCTCTCCTGAAAGGGGTGCCAGCGTCACCGAATAAGGGCCTGGCCGCAGGGTCGGGGGCAGAGGACGTGGCCACAGCAGGGTCTGGATTCTGCGCCCACCACCCATGCTGCGAGCTGTGGAGTGATTGACAGTTCAGCTACCGCGGCCGGAGGCCCCACCTAAGAAGGAACACTGCGGACAGCTGCCCTGCGGGAAGCGCGGACACTGACCTGCCGCGGAGATGGTCCCCGAGCTGGCATGGTCTCCGATGGCGCACGCACCAGGCCACACGGGTCATCAACACTCCGGCGTGTCCCGGGGCTGCACCCACGGACCTATTCAGGGGAGGGCTCGACCTGCTGGCCACCTCCTGGGGCGGCAGGGCTCTGCAAGTCCTCCAAAGTGGGGACTGATCTGCAAAGAGACCCACATGCAATGTTCGTGCCAGACAAGGACAAGCACTTTCCTCATCCCAGGCAGTGGCTCTGATTCCAGAAGCACCCACCCAGGAGACCCTCCCCCCAACAAGGCTCGGCCTCTGCGACAAGTGACAATCACATGTCCTTGGGGTCGGCATGACCCATGTAAGGTGCCAACACGGGGTTCAAGGAGGGAGATGCCTGGGGATGCCCAGCTTCCCGTGTGCTCAACAGCAGAATGAGAGACCGTGCCCTTCAGGCCGAGACCCCACTGACCCAGGCATTTCTGTCTCACTCTGGAGTCAGCATGTCACCCCAAACCCCACGAGGGATAGAGGGAGCAGACCAAGATGGCGCGTGCTTGCCTCAACACGCACCCCACTTCACCGGGTGTCACCCCGAAGTCAGCACGTCCGTCCGGGAGGTGCTCTGGGAAGACCTGGGACAGAAAGAAAAGGTCAGTGGCGTAAAGGACACTGTGTCTGACTCCAAGTGTCTACTGACCGTCTGCTCCTCGCCAAACACCCATGAATGCAACTGTCTTAATGAGATTTGTGCCAACACTGATTTTCATAAAAATGTGTTTTTCAGAGTGAATTCCATTAAACTAATCCAATTCCCTGTTTCGTTTCCCTGACTGTGCTGTTGAGCTGTTTTCATTTCTTTTATTTCCCTTGTTATTTCCCCCAAATCATTTTCATTAGGATCAATTCTTTTCCATTTAAAAATCTGAATGCAGATTCGGTTCCTGCGTGTACTTTTGTCTACATCAAACAGCGCCGTCCAGAGCCCCCGCCAGCGTCAATTTCCTCCCACGGCCGCCATGTCTAC